GCCCAGGTTTTTGCAACAGAAACATAAGTGACCGGGGTTCTATTGGGGCACCGCCTCGCCAACCCATGGCAGGTGTGGTAGGCCACCTCCATTGCCTCCTTTGCTGGCAACAAGCGCAACTACTGGAATTTCGATTTAATTCGCTACATGCGGCGTTTGCGCCGCGGGGTGGCTTCTGCATCGCTAGGATGCAGTCTATGGGGCTCGAGCTATGATCTACAGCATCGCCCGCGATCTGTAGCCTTCTCCAACACTGTGCATACTTTCGTCAAAGTCACGCCTCTCTGTAACGCTAATGTCACCAGTGTGACTACGTGTGCATGAAAGTATGCATCGTCTTCCCAAGGTCAGTTCGAGGTGTTGACGGCAGCACCGTCCGATCTTCTCGTGCTACGACACCGATGCTCCACCTCAGCGACTGCAGCAGTGTCCTGGTCGTCTCGTGCTTCAACAACGATGCTCCGCACCAACGACACTGACGACTCGATGTCTCTTGCCTCGACACCGGCGCACCAACAGCGCTGGACGTTCAGCCATCATTGTGCCCCAGAGCATCGAAGCACGCGTGCCCCTTGCAGAGATCGCGCCCGATGCACAGTTGGTGCTAACTGAAGATCCTACGTGTGCATGCGCGCCGTCATACGCAGCGACTCTGGCACGGCGACCTTGCAACTGGATCAAGCCGCGCTTTCGCAGCGCTCGCGCAACACAAAGCGTGCTCACTATGTTTACCTCTAGAATCACCCACGAGAGACAACAAGTCGCAGCTCCGCCACCCGCCCCGACAACAACACTCGTCACGTCCAAGCACCTCAAGCACCGCTCTATTTGGGGGCTGCGCTGCTGAGCCACTTTCGACATCTCCATCAAGCGGCGACCGCGGCCAAGTCGCGCAAGATCGACAACCAGCAGTCGCGGCAAGACCCCCGTCTCTCCCGACCAACGGCTTCTCCAAGATGCAAGGCATATCACACGCTGCCGCCATCGAGGCACGGCCTCACACACTGGCGCAACTTTCAAGCGAGCGGCGCGACCAAGATCGCTCCGAGACGGCAAACTGCCAACGGACACCGACCAGGTGACGCTTGACATCAGCACCGACACAGACGATAAGCACCGCCACGTTTGCACGCAGCAGCCAACACCAAGGCTCGTTGGCGCGACTCTGAAGAACTGCAGCGAGCAAGATGCACCACGTTTTCAACGCGACGCCTCACTACGAACGACCACGCCCGACCGTCAGTCTCGAGCGACACCGAGACGAACGCAATCACCAAGACGAGGCGTCAAGAGCACACGCACAGACCTCGGTCCACCGGCGCGCATACCATCGCCAAGCAGCCGCCAACGATGCAGATCACCGATCATTGGGGCTGTTGTATCGGAACCCGCGAGACGACAGGTAAACGTGTTGCGTGGATCCCGTGTCCTGCCAGACGAGCGTAGCAAAGGCGGTGGCAAAACCAAGCAGAATGGCGTACCATGTGGGTTCATGGAGTCGGCCAGACGATGCAGACGAGTTGCCAATGTTGTCGTTCTTGCACACGGGCATAAGCCACTTGCGGCGCTCGCCCTTGGTCCCGCGCTGGAGACGCAAAAAGCTGCGGCCGTTCGAGGTGAATCGCGTGAGCCATTTGGTGGCGTCCTCCAAGTAGGGGTGCGGATTATTGGTGAGCGTTTTTTGGATGAATTCTGAGCGTCTGGGAAATGGAGGGTATCTGAGCGGATCTCGACCATTTTGAGCGGTTTTTGATCGGCTAGCCGAGCTACTAACTGCAAAACGGATGACATCTGAGCGGTTCAAACCGTTTTGAAATCCTGATGTATTTACAGGTTTTGCCCAGATCCCATTTTCGGGACAAACCAATATTTTCGGTCTCGAGGGTGTTTTTACGCACCAGGGTCGGCGCGGCCCTACGGGCCTACCCGCCTCCACCTGGGCGTCCTTTCTACAATAAAGCCCTTTTTACGCGAAAGACGGGGGCTCGCTCCTCGCCAAGGCACGGCCTGCACAAAAGTCAACACCCAACCTCCGCTTCGCTGCGGTGGGCAGACTTTTCTGGGCCGATGCTCTGTCGTCGCTCGCATTAGTGAAGGTTTGTCCCAAAAACCCACTCACAGGTCATCCCTTAGGGTCGATTCAGAGTAACTTTGGGCCAGCGGCTTTTGAAATCGCCAGATGCTGTGCAGAGTAACTTACAGCGACTCCGAGACAGTGAGGTGCGGCTCTCGGCTGGAGACCAACAGATGGCGTTTCCCATCGCTGATTGGCCAGTTTGAGATTTCCTCCAGGTCAGCGGCTGTCGGATCACACAAGCTCTGACGCATGTTATTGGTAGAAATTCAGATTTAGCTCACATGGATTGGCTGTTTCAAAGTATTTTTTTCATTGGCTGAAAATCGAGCGACCAGGACAAGAGGCCGAGGCGCCATATTGAGGTGCCAATATTGGAGTTTAATACAGTTTATAGCAGTGTTGCACCTTGATGAATGAAACAGAACCATAGTTATTCACGGATATTCTAGTAGCTGTTTAAATCAGCTTTAAGAAACATTCCGTTTTATACTCGGTGGTTGGGCGCGCTTGAAGGGATGATGAGCATGCGTGCGGCGCGGCGACGTGGCGGCGACGACACGCCTGTTCAAGAGCGCTTCACCTTGGGCAGGGTGGTGGACGCATCCGCATAGATAGATCCACCCTCCAGCTGTAATAGCGACTACGGGTATCGCTATGGCGGGCGCTTGGCGCGCGTCATGCTCAGTGCTATCGCCAACGAGACGTCAGGCATAGCCGTAGCCCTGATGCGATGCTAGATCCCGCTCGTTCCGGGCCCAGAGATGCAAGTCAGTGCTGCGATTGTTAAGCTCGTGGCTCTACGCTTGCAGAGTGCAGTACACCTATCTCGTGTGACGGCATCGACAGCACGCACGACGACGGCTCGGTCTAACGGCGGCTTGACGAGGCGCCCTGGGGCAAGCCATGCTCACCAATGAATATTTGTTGTCGATCTAGCCAATCAAAATGGATCATACATTTTACTCTGACTTGCTACTTTTCTGCTGCAGCGACTCCGGGGACCCCAAATCGCGCTGAAAAGCGCCAAAACGCCCCAAAACACCTCGCCTAGGTCTTTTCAAAACCAAAAATCGAGATGCGCTGGAACGGCCTCTGATTGGCCGAGAAATTCATTTTTCTCAAAAAGCCGCTGCCAAGAGTTACTCTGAATCGACCCTTATGGAATCGTTTTTTAGAACGGGTATGCCCCTCAAAATCCGCTCAGGAATCCCTCAAAAATGAGACGCTCAGGATTCAATCAAAAAACGCTCAGAACTAATATTATTCCTCCAAGTAGCTTTGGGAGTGATGTGGCACGATGTAACCAACCGTGTCGTCGCCAACGCTGTGCTTTTGGTTGGTCAACTTGATGAGGAGCTGGATCGTGGCGTCGTTGATGTACGCGCCGGGTTGGAGCGACGCCGACGTCTCGTCATGGTTTGGCATGTAGCTTTACTCCCACCTCCCCCCACATGTCCACCAACACGAATAACGTCAACCCCTTTACGCGCGACGACGCTGCTGCCCTTCTCACGAAGAGAGTTCGTCAAAGAGTAGGGCGGCAGCATCGTCGCGCGTAAAGGGGTTGACGTCATTCGTGTTGGTGGACATGTGGGGCGAGGTGTGTCTTCTTCTTGGGCTCGGGCTCGGGCGCGTCGAAGTCTGGATGCGACCGCTTGGCGGGTGACTTTGTGGTCTTTGCCTTTGCAGCTTTTTCTTGCTCTTGCCCTTGTTGGTCTTGCGCATGTCTTGAGGTGTTTCGGGCTTCATGTTGGTGCACGGGCGCTTGTGCGGGTCGATGGATGCCTTGGCCGCGCGTTTCTTCTTGTCCTTGGCCAGCGCGGCTTTGGGGAGGTGCGCGTTTGGGTCAATGCTGCGCGCGTCGTTCCTCGAGTGCGAGTACCCGCCAATGGCCATGCGCCACTGCCCCGCCGTAATGGTGGGTCGCAGAGCTTGGAGACGCTTGCGGTCAAAGGTGAACGAGAGGGGCGTAGCGTAGCAAACGCAGCGGTCGTCGCTGCGTTCATGGCGCCAGCAGCATTTGTAAGATCCCGCAGCTCCAAGGCACCGAGACGACCCGCGGCTTTGTTGTCGTCGCCATACACATCGTGAGGCCCAGCGCATTCGCCGACCGTCAAAAGTTTGCCAGAGCGCATGCTACGAAGGTCCTGCCAATGGTCGGCGTTGCGCTCGCGCCACCGGCTCGATGCGATCTCGTTGCCGCCGCTTCGGTGGCTCTTGCTCATGACGATTTGGATGAAGCGCAGACGTCGGCGAAAAAAAATCGGCGCGGAGAAGCGGTCCCACGCGTCAAAGAGGTCGGCGAGCCCCTGGGCGTTGTGGTTGGCCGTCACGTCCATGTTGTCTGCGTCCCACAGCGTGTGCAGAGCCATGACGTACTTGGCCACGGCGCCCATGTCCTTGCAGGGCGTCTTGGTCTTTGCGCGCAAGACGCATTCGCAGTGGCTGTAGAGCTTCGCCAAGCGGAAACGTATCCCGCGCGGTGCGGCCACGGCCTGAGGAGGCCCTCGAAGCGCTTTCTGCCGCAGTCGATTCGAACGACAAGGATGTCGAGTTTGGTGGCGGCACCACGACGTATGTCATTGGCGACGAACGCATCTTTCTTTCCCAAGCCGAGTCCTACGCGCATCGCGGCCCCCTCTTTGTCGACTATACACAGCTCGAGTTTGAGTGCATCGTTGAGCTTGTGTCCAACAAAAAGACGACGGACAAGGAACCCTCGGGCCGTGACAGTTCCTGGTCCGTCGTTGCTTTTTTGGACACAAGCTCGACGATGCACTCAAACTTGAGCTGTGTACAGTCGACAAAGAGGGGGCCGCGATGCGCGTAGGACTCGGCTTGGGAATGAAAGATGTGTTCGTCGCCAATGCGCTGGGCGGCTTGAACAAACGCGTCGTAGTCGGTTCGGTGGAAGCAGATGGCACCTATAGGCTGCCACAGCAGCGCGGAGAGACAGAGGGCGCGCCGCACATCTCGAGATCAAGGTTGGCGACAGCACCGACGAGTAGAGCGTAATGAACCAGTGCAAACGGCCCCCGAGCTGCGGTTCCACGACGGCGTTGAACGCAGAGACGGGAGTTGCGGCTGATGCGCATCGCCTTGGTATCGGGAATGCGCATGACGTCGTTGAGAAGGATGCGTTGTTTGCGCAAGAAGTGAGTATCGGGTTTCCACCAGTGAGGCGAATGCGACCACCGGGTGCGTCCATGATCTCGCGCGGGGGTTCTCACGAGTGACCCCATCTTGTTGCAGATATCGAGACTCTGCGGCCCACTTTTTGACGCGCAAAGTGGCGACGCGCAGCGTAAACAAATCCTCAAACTCGGGCGGCGCCAAAGTGACGAAATGAGAGCAGACGTCGTACTTGTTGCGCACGGCCTGCATGCATTGGCGCGAGGCGGCGCGCTCAAAAGGGCTGAACGGGACCGCCGAGCCCACTTTGGACCTAATCTTGCAGACCTTGGGAGTTGAGGATCATGGCAGATGGCTCCTTGGGGTTGTCGCGGGCCCACGCGAGCATCTCCTGGAAGGAGGCCGTGTCGCAAAACTGGGCGAGACGCTCGAGCCCTTGGTGCCAATGCGAGCTGCCTTGCGGATACAAGCGTGCCGCTGCTTCTGGTCGAAGCACGCGCGATGCACCTTGGGACTTCAACCCGATGTCTTTGGCGAGCATAAGAGGCTGGTCGGTAAATTTCCTCTGCTGTCCAGTTCCAACTTCCGCCTGTTTTTTCTTGTACGGATAACGTTTAACCGGACCCCACTCGCTTCGGGGCAATATTTTGAGGTCGGGAAAATGACTCAAGCGGCTGTCCTAATCGGGGTCGGGGCAGCCATCGCGTCCGTCGCTGTAGCATGCGCTGCGGCGGGAAGTAGCCTCCGCGAGGATCAGTACAACATCCTCACCATTGACATGGTCGAGTTTGACGACATGCTCGACAACCCGCGCTTCAACCAGTGGTTCATCAACAACCTGCGGTGCTCCCAGGCATCGTTTCATCGCCTCGTCGACGTCCTCCGCAACTACATGGCCGACTACAAGTTCCCGCGCTCAAAGCACTCGTTCGAGAAGAAGGTGGCCGCTGTACCCCCATCCTTCGACGTCACGTTGTCAATAGCCAACGGCAGGTCATCGTCGATCGGCAGAGGGTCGCCAGTGGCCGGCGGCGGCAGGTCATCGTCGGCTTGCGGCACGTCGTCGATGGGCGGCGGCAGGTCATCGTCGGCCGGCGGCAGGTCATCGTAGGGCGGCGGGTCGTCAGAGGCCGGCGGTGACTTCTTCGTTCGTTCGTGGTCTCAATACCTTCTTCTTCACCGCGCGCGGGGCTGCCTTCTTCCGCGAGTCGGCCATGGCCACTTTGGGAACCCGAGTTCGAAGAAAAATGGGACTCTGACTGTCATCTCGGAATGGCCCCAAACGAGTTCGAATGCATATCCGGACACCGGATAAAATAAGCCAATAGTCATCGATTATTTTCGGGGCGAGTGGGAACTGGACAGCCGAGGAAATTTACCGACCAGCCTCTAAGGATTCCAGCCTGTCCGGATATTCAAAGCTTCCACTGTCCGGATACTAGT